GGCTGTCTCTTTCTTTCTTTCTTTCTGTCTCTTATTCACTTCCTCAGGACTCCCCACCCCAAACACACACTTTACTCTCTCTCTCTCTCTCTCTCTCTCTCTCTGTGTCAAACAAACACACACACACACACACACACACACACACACACACACACACACACACACACACGCACACACACATAAACATTCATATACTCTTAAGCAATTCTTTTTTTCATACATAACATTTTCATTGGTTTCCGATGAAAGCGTCTTGTTACACTTTTTAAAACTTGTCTCGTTCTTTTATCATCAATCTCTTTGTTTCGATATTTCCGTCTTTATACACCCTAAGGCCCCACGCAAAATCAATTCTGCTTTATAAGCGCTATGCATCGTTAAAATTCTGAAGCATCAATGAGAAGTTGGCCCTCATGTTTTCTAATAACTGACGTAAAAATCTACTTCAATCAGGGTGTTGCATGTTTATGAAGGATTCTCAATAACTCGTGCTGGTGAGAAAGTAGAAGGGAGAAAAGAAAGAAGGAGAGAGAGAGGAAGAAATGATGTATGTCAATGTGAAAGCATACGCACATACACACTAACACACACACACACACGCACATACACTCTCTCTCTCTCTCTCTCTCTCACACACACACACACACACACACACACACACACACACACACACACACACACACAATGGGATGAAAATGTACTGAAGCAACTATCTAGTGTCAATAATTTAGAAAAAAACCCCGATTACAATGCAGTATAAAACCCTGTGTCAATAACTTTACAAAATGAGAACAATGTTTGTTTAAGCATGTAAAAAACCCTATAAGGAAAGCAAGAGAAAATTTTAACGCTCAATCTGTGCTTTGCACGTGGACAGCATTTCGTGGCTCGACAGTTTCTTTTTTGCCTTTTCAGTCTTCAGACCCAAACCAAATGCTGTTTTATGTTTAGATTGCTTATTTTCTTTGTGCTGTCTGATAAGAAATTCATGCCCCCACATTTGAAAAGCAACCCATTTAGTTTCTTTTAAAACAAATAAGAAGGATTTATTTTTTAATGATTGCTGTCAGAAAGGAGAAAACGCCAGCCAACAAGGGTTTTTCGGTGCAGAGTGAGGAAAATGTTTTGGTAAGGAAAAATTATAGACTTACAGTGACCGAAATAGCTTTAAAATCCTGACAAGTACAAATTACTTCTTAAAGTGGACATTTAGTTAGTAAATATATAGGGTTAACGCCCCTAGAAACACTATTAAGTTTTTTAAGAGATGGGACCTCCGACTTTAACGTCCATCTCCGATAGGACTTAGCCAAATGGGTTGAGAGTCTTAAAAACTTCACAAAATGACCCGTGTGTAAGAACTCCAGTCTGGGATTCGAACCTGGGCCATCCACCCCGTAGTCCAACATGATACCCACCCCGCTAACGCGCCCCAAGGGTACTTAATAAATGGCTCATTTGCCCTTGCAGCATCGTGCCCCTTGATTCACCCGTGGGAGGCTGTTCTCATTGGCGCGATCGGAGGCGTCCTGGTAATCGGCGTGGACCATCTCCTTGTCAAGCTCAAAGTGGATGACCCAGTCTCCGCTGTAGCTGTGCACGGGGCCGGTGGCCTGTGGGTGAGTCTGCCCTCCTTGCTTCTTTTCTCTTTTTGTTGTTTTGTTTTGCTTAGATCTGTCTGTCTATCTATATCTCTCGCTCTTTCTCTCTGACACTTCACATACAAGCGCGCGCGCACACACTCACACATACACTCACATACACACACATACACACATATACACACACATGCATACACATACACACACAAGCGGCACACATATACAGACACACGCATACACACAATAAATACATGTACGAACACACATACACACACACACGCGCACACACACACAGACACACACACACACACACACACACACAAACACACACATACACGCAAACAAACGCCTCCCCCCCCCCCAACAACCACACACACACACACACACACACAAACATTCCCTCTCCCGTCCACCCAAGTGAGTCTGTTCCTCCGTCCCCTAGGGTTTCCTCACCTCCACCCCCCCCCCCACACACACACACATAGACATCCCTCTCCCGTCCACCAAGTACTGTATACAACAAGTAAGTGTTTCCCTCCGTCCCCCAGGGCTTGATCTCTGTGGGTCTGTTCACCACACAAGACCCCGTGGAGAACATCACCTACGGTCGGAACGGGCTTTTCCACGGCGGGGGCTGGTACCTGCTGGGAGTACAGACGCTCACCATCCTCTGTGAAGTCACATGGGCAGCCCTCATCACGTTCATTCTCTTATTCGTAAGTAATACTACTACTACTAATAATAATAATAATAATAATAATAATAATAATAATAATAATAATAATAATAGTAATAATAATAATGATGATGATGATGATGATGATGATGATGATGATGATGATGATGATGATGATGATGATGATGATGATGATGATGATAATAATAACAATAGTACAGTTACAACAACAACAACAACAACAACAACAACAACAACAACAACAACAACAACAACAACAATGGTGTAAGATTGCATTTGAACAGCCCCTTAGCTGGGAGAGCGAGGCTCTGGTGGTGTCTTTTGGCAGTCTATGCTTCAACATGGAAAGTATACTTTCCGACAACCTCCTGTATCTAGATACAAATCTGATCGCCTTGTACTTATCTTATCATCCGATATAATGACCTAGGCGAGAAAGTGAGTGTGATACTTGTGTCACTTTTCCTCACCTAAATCGAACTTTGATATTCAATATGGCATGCTGCATAATTTAGAACCCTTTCTCATTGTAATTGTAACTAGTTTTTTAAAATGAGATCATTGAAGTTGAAGTCCAATTTAATTAAGTCCAAGTATCGATGATCAGATCCTTAAATAAAATACACGTGCGTACGTTGGCATAGCACCAGACCACACATCATGAGTCTAACATCTAATATTTTCTGTGTGGTATTTCGGGACGCACAGATCATCCAGAAGACGATGGGACTGCGCGTATCGCCGGAAGACGAACGTCTGGGCGCCGACCTTGTCGAGCACGGTATCATGCAGAAAACGGACGGCAGCCAACTGGCCTTCACTTCTCAGAACACCCCAGTAGCCCCGACCGTGAGCCAACTGATCCCAAACCTGCATGCCATGACGGGCATCAAGTCTACGAAGCTCAAGTCTGGTATTACCGAAAGGAAGACAAGCTTGTTTACTGTGGTGAGAAGCTTGCCAGAGAACTCTGAGGACGCGGGGTCCGAGAGTACCGGAAGTTCTAGCGTTGGCACTGCATTGCGGAGCGCCACTAGCCGGGAATCTTCAGAAGAAGACCACACTACGACACAGGCGCTGCCAGCCTGAACAGATGCCAGAATCTCCACAGTTTGTTTTATTCCTCACATGACCTGTTATTTTACATAAAGTTTGATAGTTTCATTTTTGTATGTTGGCATATCTCGCCCCCCCCCCCTCTCTCTCTCTCTCTCTCTCTCTATATATATATATATATATATATATATAAAAATATATCTCAGTCTATCTATTTATCTATCTATCTGCTATATGTATATATGTATATATATATATATATCTAGTATCCCCTCTCTCTCGTTCTCTCTACCTCTCAGTCTCATATTCTCTCTCTCTCTCTCTCTCTCTCTCTCTCTCTCTCTCTCTCTCTCTCTCCCTCTCTCTCTTGCTCTCCATATTCTCCCTCTTATGCACAATTACTTTTGTACAGTACAGTACGGATAGTGGTCCATCCACCCTCTTCTTTTCCATACTAATGTAATACATGTATATATGGGTCTATCTAAAACTGGGGGGAGGGGGGGGGGGGGATGAGATGGTTGGGATAAAGTCATGCTATCAGGTACGCACAAGCCTGCCATGTTGTTATTGTTGATATGTGGGACAGTGTAGTACCGGTATCATTATTATTATTATTTTGTTATTATTATTTTGTTATTATTATTATTATTATTACTAGTGTTATTATTATTATTATTATTATTATTATTATTATTGTTGGGCCTATTATTATCATTACCATTATCATTTTCCTATTGTCGCTATCGATATTATTATTGTTGTTATTATTATTGTTGTTATTATTATTGTTGTTATTATTATTATTATAATCATTATAACAATAATAATTATTATATTTATTATTACTATTATTGTACCACTGTTATTATCATGACTACTAATATAAATGTGTACATTACTATTATCAATATCGCCATTATTATTGTTATTGCAGTTACTATATTATTATTTGCTAATGCTTTCCTTACTGAACTTCATTATGGGATAACTTCGCTTTTCGTCTGGTAAAATATTTCATACAGAACATTCCTGCATTATTTATTTAAGCATCATTGTATCTTAAAGAAGGTCATGCCTGCCTTCCCATCTAACCTACTGCACGACAGAGCAGCTCTGAAGGCTGCAGGCCTACAGCCTTTTGTTAGAAAACTCCGAGCTTTTTGTTTCTTTGTTTGCGTTTTTATTTTTCAATTTGTTCCTTTGTGTGCGACGCATATTAATGCTTAGTGTAGCTGTTGTTCGTTAAATCTTCTGTGTTTGTCGTTTTCTCTGAACACAGAAATACTTTTTTTTCCTCCGTTCAGACGTCAGACACAAGAAAACATGCTTTTCCAGAGACCAGGTTTTCAGGATTACACTGTGCATTACTTAATTAAAATCAAATCTGATGAGTTTACTTTCTTGGATACAAACAAACCCATACAATTGCACACATATCATAATATAGGATTTATTTGAGTCATTTTCTTAATGTAAGTGTTTTTACGCTCCCGTCGAAACAATTAAGAATATTTAGGAGGCGGGCTTTTAGCCTTGCCTGTCAGAGTCAACCTGGGCAGACAGGGATACATGTACAACATCCCATCAGAAAGATTGAAAGGATAAAAGTTTGGGAATCGAACTTCAGCCTCCTGTATATGGGCAGCGAGGCGCCAAATCACGGCACCACACACACATACATACACACACACACACAAACACATACAAACAGACTCACACACATACACACACGTACACATACATAATGTCCGTTCTTCGCTGGCGATAAAGACCCTGACTTTATATCATTGGGGTAGTGGGGTACGTGCAGAGGTGGCTCATCAGGCGGATCTTCGCCCTGAAACTGAAATGTCTGTGTAGTTCCTGATTCATTGAATTGCGATCGTTGATGCTCATAGGCACATGCACGCATACACTTCACCAGTTCTGCAGTAGGCCTACCGGTACAAGACCGAGGAAAAGATGGTTTCCAACAAAGTCAAAAAGGAAATATTTCTTACTCGAATTAAAGACCGAAATAATCAGAAGTTGACAAGAAAAGGAAGACTAATCAAAAGCGCACATTTTATATGGAAGGTAGACGATCTTATGGATTAAATTTTTTTTTCTCTATAATTACCCCTTTGCATTCTTATAGCGGGAACTCACGTACAGCGGGATTTTTCTCCTGGAACCAAATTTTAATGTCCCTCTATAGCCGTGTTCTACAGTATTAACCGAGCTGGAAAGGGTGCAGCCTAGGTAAAAATCTCCAGGAGCTGCTGAAACCTACAGAAGAACCAACACCAAAAAGCTTCTCACAAAAAGAAACCCCTCCAGAACCATCAATTCTGCTGAGTGAAACCCAACATGGTATACAGAAAAGCCCCATAACCAAAGCGCCATGCGTTGATAACATCACAGCAAAAGAGATCAAGCTATGCGGCCATATCGGTGAACTCTGTCTATGGAGGATATTTAACCTGGCTTGGGCAACAAAAACAACACCCGGTGACTGGCAAAGAGCTGTCATTGTACCTATTTGGAAAAAGAAAGGTAACAAAAGAGACTGTGGAACTTACAGAGGAATATCCTTTCTCAGCCATGTGGGTAAAATGTTTGCCAAGATACTGAAAATGAGAATGAGACTAATTGTAGAGACTCAACTCAATGAATCCCAGTTTGGCTCCATTAAAGCAGTTGTGTGAGACTGCCATTGCACATGACAAAGACCTCAATACCGTCTTCATGGATCAGGAAAACGCGTTTGACCGGGTAGATAGATGTCAATGTTGGGAAGTCTTAGAGGGATATGGTGTAACAGGACAATTGCTGGAGAACATGATGGCACTTTATAAAAACAGCCTGTGTACCGTAAGATCAACAGAAGGACTATCGGACTGATTCCCAATCAGGTCTGGGGTGAGATACGGGTGTGTTCTCTCTCAGCTTCTCTTCATCACTTACATGGATAAGATCACGAAAGCAGCAAACGACAACATAACTGAACTGAATGAGCTTCAATTTGCTGATGATCAGAGTACATATATATTAAATACAGATGAAGAGGAATCACAAAAACAAACCACAAAACTAAATGAGGAATGTAAACACCTGAACATGAAAATCTTCATCTCAAGAAGCAGAAGTTATGAAGGTCAGCAGAAACCCAGGGAAACTCAACATTACTACTGACGGAACACAGCTCCAACAAGTAGAGGAATTTAAATATTTGGGAAGCATCTTCACACAAGATAGGTGTATATATAAAGAAATAGAAACAAGAACTATGAAGGCAAATGCAGTGACCTACCACCGAGCACCCATGCTCAGTCACAAGAACATCCCAACCGAAGTGAAATCCCAGCTCATCAATAGCATCTTCATACCAACATTAATATACCAGTGCCAAACATGGTCCAACAAGGCACAAGAAAGAAAAATCAATGCAAGCGAAATGAGGTGTCTCCACAAAACTATCAACGTCACAAGAAGAGACAGCATAAGAAACGAAACCATACGTCTACAAACTGGAAAACCACAGGTACATGTAATGAAATTGATACATTATATAGAGCGTCAAAGAGTTAAATGGTTTGGACATCTAACCAGAATGCCCCAGAAACAACTAGCGGCTAGAGCTTACAACACCCGAGAATCCGGCTTAAATCAAGAGGAACACCAAGAAAGACCTGGCTGGATGGGGTTAAAAAGGTCCTGGAACAACATAACATTCTATCACCACAGACGCTACATTACACACCAAGCACAGGACCCAAACTTGCACCTCCCTTCGACATCCTAAGGATACCAGAGGAAGGAAAAAGTAAAAGTAAGTTCATGTATGTAAGGAGTGAAGGGGCTGGTGGGGCTGGATGGTGGTAGGGTACAGTACTTCGGTCTTCTTGGAGATAATGAGGCCGAAGTCATAAATAGCAGACTGGAAAAACGGCCAAAGCTTCCCTGCATGTCTTGACTGTGTTCTATAATACAATATATATATATATACTTACTGACTTTTGCTTTTTAAAATCCTGTTGCCGTTGTTAAGCGTCGAGGGGAGATACAGTTTTCTATGGTAAGCCAGCTCTGCAGATCTTTAAGTTGGGATGACTCCCTCAATCCTTCTTATTCTTATGCGTGGCCTTCCTCTTCTTTTATAGCCCGAGTATTTGGTACCTATAGGCTCTTGTGGCTGGCAGGCCAGGTGACATACAAAACAGGTGGCCAAACCATTTTATTGTTTTTCTATGAAATGCAAGCAGGACTGTGCCAAAAGTTGCTTTTACTTCAACATGAATCTCTGCCCGTCTCTTTCTTGTGATGTTTGTTAAGGGTTTTGAGGACATTTTATTTTGCATGCAGAGACTGCTTTCATGGTTTTTAAAAAATGCAATACTTAATGTTCAGGTCAAGCGTGATAACGCACACATCGGCCTCACTCTGGATGATACTTTTCACTCGCAGATAAAACGAAACTAGAGCCATAATAGGCCCACTATATTTATTAGCAGGGTTCAGCTATTATTATACATTGTAACATACAGTACACGCATTATACTTGGATATAATGACCTTGACATTGACGGACGCCCACCTGTGTGGTGAGTAAGTATAGGCAGCCAAAGAGCTTGAAAAGAATCATGTCATGGCGATGGGAAAGTCTACATATTATGTACTTCTAAATTGAAGACTTCATCATCTATGTATGTGTACCCTACTCTGACTTCTATTACATGTAGGCCCTATTACATTCCATGTTCATGTTTTTACTTACACTTTTCAATTCAAGGCTATCTTATGCCTAAACGATACATACTGTATCTTTATCCATTTTCTCGTAGACGTATTTCTATGCAGTCTGACAAGCCACAAATCCGCATTTTGGGCACATTCAGCTCAATTATTATGCCACATCGTTCTACTCTAGTGCTTAATACAGTAGAGTGCGTTTGAATCAATGAATCGGAATACATACATATATATATCCCCTTAAGCTGAAAATTTTATGAAATTGACTAGCAATTTGACTGACAATAATTCAATTTTCTCAAAATAATACAACTGTCCATTTCAAGAATTTTAGTTTCAGTGTTGATTACAAATGTATAAAATTTGGTTGAATCGAACCCTTCGACAAGACAAGTTGGCCATCATAATCATATATCGAAGACTGGCCAAAGGTACAGATTCTGTAGTCTGTAATTTCCTTATACTGTAACATTGTCGACACCTCAATTTTGACTTGATTTTTTTCCAATTGTAATACATGTATTTGAAGTTTATATGGAAATGTTTACATTGATTACTAATAATATATGTGCTACATTTATTTCGCAAGTTCAGCTTAGGTTGACAATTCATGGATGTCATGACACTGGCCGATTTACGATTTACGTCTCGACATTTCTTTGTCGTTTCTTGTTTGAAGAAAAATTACAGCATATTCTGAAAAATTGGGCACTGTCTATGAACAGGCTCAAAATACATTCCACTACACACTATGCAACTGATGGCTTTCTTGTTTTTCTTCTTTGTTGAATTTAAGTCTACAACGTTTTTGTGAAGACAACCTAAATCGTGTAAATACTAGACATAAAATCACAAAGTCCTACACAAAGTTCAACTTCCAAAGAAGAGCCGTATGAATTGAAAAACACACCAGTACAATAAATCCTACAATCAAAAACAATTTTTGGCCATGCCATACAGTCCACTAGTCTAGATGGCCATTACTCAGGTCAACAGGCAAAGAGATAATTTCTATGGTGAATACTTCGCCTTTTTCAAGAAGCTGAGCAGAGACATCAGGTCTCTTCATCATCACAATGAACATCATTCACCCAACATCATGGCTCATTCGTAAATTTTGTCACTGATAGTATCAATCAGTGTCAGTACTATAACATATTGGCCAGACAAATGAATGCGCTTTAACCAATGACTCCACATACCCAGAAATTCACTTGCGCCTGATTAGTGTCATGACACATATGGTATAGTTTCTGCACCCTAAGAGAACTAACATGGACGTTTAGAGGACAGTACAAATTAAACAAAATACAGGATATATTGCCACATGTAGCTCCTTCAAGAATAAAATGTGTCACGACATGGTGGAATCAGGCGCTCGTCAATTTTTGTGCATGAGGAGTTACTGGTAGCTTGTTAATTTATCTTGCTTTTGATGAAAAAAACCCCCCCCATCTATCTTGAGCTGAAGTGAAGATATTTCTGATTGAAAGAGGTAAGTTCACTTGGTTTCAGCGGTAGAAATAGCGAGAAAATGGCCACCAAATTTGGTAACTTCAATAGCTAAAGAGTCCTTGAAAACTGAAAAATTACACATTTTGAGCTTTGCATCAACGTCTTTCAATATAATTTACATGGAAATGTATTTTTATTTGGACACAAAAGGGTTGAACAAAAACCAAAAAATTTGATTAAAATTGCGAAACTAGTGGGAAAATTCCTGTTTTCTCCAATTTTGTTATTTTGACCAGCGCCCGATTTCACCACAATGCCTCACAAATGACAACTGCGCAAAGTGTAAAACAAACTTCCATCACTATTAATACAGGTACAGGCCATTGTATTCAAACTGTCTACAGATGATGAAACTTATTATTACTAGTGCTATAAATATAATTTCTAATGGAAAGGAACGATCCTTATTTTCACGGGGCCACAGAAAATTAAATGTTATTTTCACAAATAAAAACATGAAAAATTTTCTTTTTTGCAAAATCACTTTATTTTGACATCTTGTAATATTTTGCTTCATCAAACAAGCTCACAAGTTATTTGGCGCTCACAATCTACCAGTCATACATGTATCATGAAGTCAGGTATGCTTTATCGATCTTGTTCTGGGACTGAGCACAGGATTATCCTACGTAGCACAGGATTATCCTACGTATCTTGTGTCCAATGTAATGGTGCTCTAACTTGTTCTGTGTGCTCAAACATAGTAAAACTGTCTATCCGTTTTATTGATGGATATCTTGCCAAGACAAACAAACCATGAACTTTGTATGTCCAGTGTTTGATATAACATATCATTGGTGGAACAGAAGTTAAAGAAAGTCAGTAATTCTTTTCAGATTTTCACTGCTGATTTAGGTATAAAAAAACAAAACAACTTGATCTAGTTCTTGACCAACAGATAAACTAGCAAAAGCAAAACAACAACACAAGCAAATTGGACAAAAAAGATCACGTCTGACTTTATTTTGAAAAATACAACAAATATCCGATCAAAAACCAACCACAAATCATCCATCAGCATTCACATATTAAAATGAAACATACGTCAAATAATGAAAAGGGGCAAAGACACATTCCTAATCACGCTCATCCATCATTTGTCACTTGGCTTTTCTGAAAAAGAAATACAACCAAAAAAAATTCATTAGAATTTTACAATTTTATACAATGCCACTTTAAAAAGTTACGGTACAACTTATTTGACACTCTCAAAAACACTTAAGTAATCTCAGTGGATAAAAAACTAAAAAAACCCCCAAAAAACCATTCCTGATATCTTTTGAGTACAAGGAAATTTTACAGTTATGCCCTTACTTTTATTTAACTCATTATACCCCGACTCCAAACTATAGTGGGCTGGCAGTCTCAATTTTCAATTTTCTTATACACCACCAACAGAACAAGCATACAGCTATCAAATATCGAACAAATAAAATGCAAAGCGGATAGTTGAAGATAAAGGAGTGAGTGGATGTGCTGGGAAATGACCAACAGATCACAGCCACACACATGCCTGTCAAAGTTACAGAAAGCCACTAGCAACCAAATAACTGCCACGAATGGCGCGTCAAAGTAAATATTCTTTATTCTTTAAAACACTTCAACTGACCATATGTACAGGAATTTTAGCAGACTTTGGCCCCCAAAAATCAGGATCCCAGGAGTAGGATTTTTATGACAAAAATTCCCATTTAGTTTTACTAGATTTTTTGCGGCACTTGCAACACAATACCGCCGTATAAGACTACAGGTGCTACAAGTGAGTAACAAACACAAAAAAAAAGGAGGGGAGATAAGGGCGATAGATGTTAGAGGGGAAAGACGGAGCAAACCAAACCAGAACACTGTCAGCCAACTACAGATTTCCATTTACAGACAAAAATGGGATCAAAGATGAACAGGAGTGTTAGACACAGCACACTGATTTTAAAAACATTGTTTATAGTAACTTCCATGAATCCCCAGTACTTGTAAAGAATGAAACAAAACCTGAAAGCCTCACCCAGCCACTACAGCCTTCACTTACCTGAAGCTTTCTTCTTGTCTGCTTCCTTCTTCTTCTCTGCCTCCAGCTTCGCCTCCTCTTCCTCAAAGTTCTTGATGTGAACCTCCACCTCCGAGTCGGAGAGGATGCGGATCACTGTCTTGTTATCCTTCCTGGTCAGGGTGGCAATCTCGACTGAAATAATACACAGAAAGGTAAAAAAATAACACAAACATCTAAAAGCTCTGAATAGGGAAAAGTGAGTGAAGTCAGTCACTCTAAAGGTTACGAAGCATCCAGTGACAAATGCTATACGACATGTCGTCATCTCAGTCAACTACTTTGAACACACTTTTAGAGAAAAAAAAGCGTTGCTAGATCAGACGACCGTTTACTTAAAAAATTTGTTGTTTCCTTTGAAAGTGTAATGCAATAATTAGTATGCCTTTACATGTCATGTCAAGACCAACTGACCCCCAAAAGGACAAATGAATGAATTTTAATACTGGAAATGTACTGCAATTGTGTGACACAATTTTGAAACTTCTGAGCACCCGTACAGTCAATGTCCACTAGGAATTTTTGTGTAAGTGGGAACAACTCTGATTATGCAACAGTAAGGAAGGCAGTATGTTATGGATGCAACTGGATCAGGAGCACATTTCAAGTCGTAAACTGTTTCGCAAACATTAAACGCTGCTTTCAAAGAACGACATGAAGCGCTCTGATTTCAAATAGAACAGTACACTTAGCTCACACTTAGTGTAAGAGCTCCATTCGGTCATATCACAAGGCAAATATATTGCTCAATAAACAATGATGCTGCAATGAATGTGACCCCACAAAAATAAGTGCTAAACACAAAAAAGAATGAACATGCCAAAGCCTTTTCTTGCATTATATCACTTCTTCCAGTGAGTGGGAAATAATGACAGACACTGGAATTAATATACGACTTCTTGCGCATCTCAGCAGTTATATCTTGAGAAAACAAATACAGTATAATAGATAGGTCAAAAACAGAAGACTCGAAATCACCCATCCGCCGAACAGTGCCTGCGATCCCGTTTTTTTCCTCTTCCTTATCTCTGTGAGATACCCCTCGAACTACGGATCCCTTGAACTACCGAGGCCGGTCCCGACGAATGCCATTATCCGGGTTAAACTGTACATAAATATTGAAATTTTTCTGAGAAAAAAAAATAAAAAAATTCAGAACATATTCTCCTTTCCTAAATCCACAAAATGATGACGGATTATATACTTTCTTTTATCTTTCAAAACACTTTCATCAAAGTAAACTACATACTTGGCGTTCATATGACCGTACGCAGTTGAGAGCGCCATACAACCTCTACTAAAACAAACAAACTACATACCTTTGTCAGCAGTGACCTTAGTCATGTCAAGAGTCTTGCTAAGAACTTTGATGGCCAGATCAAGAGATGCACTCAGATTTATATCTCCACTTTTGTACTCTTGTTTGAGGAGTGAAATAGCATTCTGAAAAAGAAAGTTAAAAAAACAAACTTGACTCAACATTGCAATTACGAATGCCCAGTAAAATACAGCCTTCTTGAAATTATAGACTTGTCATTTTAGCAGTAAAATGTCTCTAAGAAATATCAAGTAAACTTGAATTTTGTTTGCTAAATGGTAACATTCCTGTAAGCTCAAGGTTCCAAAGGCAATAAAAACAGACTGACCCCTTGTCTGTGGATATTTTACAAGCACTTCACTTTATTTTGGATGGATCAGAATGTTGTTATTTCACCCCTTGAAAATTGAAGCAAATTCTCAGCCAATAATCTTTCCAGAGGCCAAAAAAAAAATAAATAAATAAATAAAAAGGGGTAAGGATCTCATAAAAAAATGGTAAATCGTTATCTCTGAAAGAGGTAAACCCACAATGCCAAGGCCCTCTTTTGGTATAAAATCTATAGCTAAATTGGTCATTAAATCAAAACAAATAAACTTAGTATTATCTCCTGGTACAAGAGACCTGTTTTCGGAAATTGCCGGAAAGTAATTTGACGCCGAAGTTGTCAGAAAGGAATGTGTCCCAGCCGCTGGAAGCGGCTTACCAGAAATAAGGAGTTAAATTTTTAAAAACCAAATAATTACATACATAGTCGAACCTGCCCAGGCGGCTATCTTTGTAAGACAACTGCCTGTACAAACGGCCATTTTTTATTTCCCTCCCTTGCGTTTGTTCCATAAAACAGCACTGCCTAAAACGAAAACCTTTCTAATGTGGCCATGGCAATTATATTTTAATCTACCAACAGCCCCACAAACCCCTCCAAGACTGCCAAATTAAACTGTAATGGGCTAACACATTGCTAAGAGTAAGCCATCATAATTTATTCACCTGTCATTATTGTTGTTGTCTTAGGAATGAACCAGTCACTGACTAGCAGGTTGCGAAAGTGAGGTTTCTGGTAAATGCGTTTACCCAAGCTGGCCAGTCTTTAAAATTTTAATGGGACTTTACGGCAGAAGAAAATGGCTTGTATTTTTTCTTTTTGATCAGTCCTGTCTAAGACGGCCACTTTTTATACATTTATGCACTGTTAATACTATTGTGATACCATACCGCACTATTGTTTCCTATGCATGTGGCTTTCCAGCCTCCATAGTTGCCACTGGGATCACTCTGGTACAGCTGGTAGCCATAGTGTTTGTCCCAACCCATGTACAAGATGGACACACCAAATGGACGTTTGCCTGGAAAAGAAATAAAACAGACATTGCAATTATACATTTGTAATCAAATGGTTTGTTTTGTTTGAGTAAACAAAAGCACATCGACATAATAACGATCATATAGAGCAAGGTAGAGCTTAGACAGAAAGACACAAAAACAGGGAAAGAAAAGAAGCAAGACGTATCAGTGGCGCTTGTCAACCACCCACTTGTAATAAAACAAAGTAGCTAGTATAGGCTGAGATAAATGAAAACTTCCTTCATAAGGTGACCATACCATCATACAATTTTTTAAAAGTAAACTAAAAGACATGTGACATTGCCTTAATAGGAATGCAAAGAAAAAAACAACACACCCGTTACCATTTTGACAGAGCTACACAACAAAGGGAGGCGACCAAAACTATGTGTAAAGCAACAATTCTGCTCTAAATCACAAGGGTAAAGACGTTAACATTGAGTTATGAATAAACACACAAAATGATCCTAAATGCAACATCCAGAAGAAAACACATTAAAAAAAACAGGAGTCCTCATTACTTTAAAAAAAAACAACCTAAAACAAAATGCTTGCTTTGTTTTCCCCAGTCACTAGACTGCAAATTCATATTACGTACAATCTGTAAGGACATGGCACATCATAAGAATCTACTGTCTTTCCAAACATGTCCACAACAGTAAGATACTCAGCTTGACAGAAAAACTACATCTCAACAGCCAACATATAATTTTCAATTCATAGCATTTCCTATGCCTATTGGAAATAAGTACAAAGCTTATGAATATCTGAAACGTTTCCTTTAAAGCAGGCTACTATTTCAAAAGTATTTTTAGAACAGACATACTTAAAAACTGGAATCAAAACTGACTGAATATTTTTCATTAACACCAATAAAGTATTTCCAAACACACACAAGGTCCCAATCATTTTGACATAGAGCTATAGACTACAATCAACAACAATTTCCGATTGTGGTCATCTTACAGAAGACAGTCTTACCTCCATACTGTGTGTAGGCCTGCTTTAGGTCACAAAGTGCAGACACAACTTGTTCACATGGAATTGCCTCTTGATACTGCAAGATGTGTCTGATAGTAGATGGATATAGTAGACAGAAATAGAAATATGAATTAAAATGTTGTACAATAAGCCTCTTCTCACACATTAACAAATCAGAAGTCTGAGTAAACATTTTTCGTTTTAAACCAGACACAGAAATAACTTAAATGTGAGCTACCTTCCCCTTTCTTTCCACATAACCTCTATCATATGAGAAGCCAGAAACAGGGAGCTCGAACTTAAGCTGAGAATTGACCCTTTTTCAATATGAAAAATGCATTAATGTCTGATTTTTTCTTCTTTATACTTTATGGACAGGAAGAGTACAAAGACTTTTGCAGCTAGAGTCACATGTAATTCAAACACTGTTAGTATGGAAGGGAGCTTGCTCAAGTAAATGGTTGTGTGTACAGAGAAGTAGAAGGTGTTAGATCTCTTAACTGGAATTTTCTCTTGCTAGCATACACAATATATATAATGTATTTCAAACTTTGACTCAAACACAACAGAGTTTACCCCCCGCGGTGGTGCTACTGACTGAAGTGTCTTAAGGCCATTCCCAAAGGGGGGGGGGACATTAACCTGTTCTTATGCACAGTAGAATTGTAAATGGGCCGATTCATCGATGTCATGCTCCAAACTGTGGCTGAACTGCAACGGGAACTGCTGCTTTTTCTTTCCTAATCCCTTCCATCGTCATTTTCCTCTACTTCGTTTGTTTGTTTGTCATGCTCTTGTGACCCCTAATTTCTGGGGTGCCTTCATAGTCGAAGCAGACTTCGTCCTGTTGAAGCTAGAGAGGTGAGCAGAGTAAGTCTGATTCCCAGTAAGGACTTCTCCGTTGACATCCACCTCTTGGTGCTCCTGTGACCTTATGCAGTTGCGAGTGCCGTAAAACCTCAACTAAAACCCCAAAAAAACTAACAACAGGGACGAATTTTGTTTTTTGGCTCAACACCTTTCATATCCATTTAAAAATACATCTCTCTGTGGATTTTACTGAAAACATTGACTAAAGCCAAAGGCACCAAAAATGTAAATTTTCAGTTTTCAAAAACTCTCAACTTATGCAAATCATCAAACTTTGGCGGCCATTTTCTAATTTTACCTCTGCAATCAGGCGATTCCCACCTCCTTCAATCGCATATCTCGACCTCTTTTCAAGATAAATTGGAATTTATTTAATTGAAAGCAAGACAAAGAACAAGCTTAAAGAAGATGCCAATAACTCCACATCCACATACCCCAAAATCGACGAGCACCTGATTCACTGCGTCATGACACAAAAATTATTATCCTGAAACCACAAATATGTTGAATTCATAACATGCGAGTCTTACCTCTGGGCAATGAGCCGGAGTTCGTTTGTCAACACGTTGGCATCGGCTGTGATCCCAGCCACACTGCATGCCATATCACTAGAAACACAAAAGGAAAAGATTGTGATGCTGTTACCATTAAACAGAATAATACACTGACGTACCTGAAAACCTCTTGGGGTGACCAAAAATAATGAAAATATGTAAATTCTTCCCAAAATACACACAGGTTTGGAGAAACAATAAAGCAACCTAGATTATGACTTAGAGTAAGATCATGTTGTGATCCCATTCTTAGTGTATATTTCAGTGTCCTCTATGGTCTGCTGGTAGCAGAAAATTTGTTTTTTTGAATCAGGGTCTTTGCAAAAATCAATCAGTCTTTCAATGGAAAAGCCACAAGAGTTTTTCCAAAATAGGGATTAGTGACAGTGAACTTAACCATCTAGATCAAGGTCTAGCCATAGAAACAAGTAGTGATAGTGATGAATTTGACATCAACCTTTGGCCCAGGGCTAAGATCTATCTCCCCCCAGAATGCCTCACATTCTACAAACATTGATCCAAAACTTGCCTGGCTGCGAATGAGTTAAAAAGCGTACCCCCCCCTTGTATATCAGTCCATACCCTCGGCCCATGATAGAACTGCATGTGGGCTTTTTCAGCTACTTTAAAAGAGACACACACACACACACACACACACACAAAAGCAACCTGATAAGAACCTAGGATACATCAAACTTTTTTCTGTGAAAATAGAAAGAAGCCAAGACATGCAAAGCCCCAGTTTAAAAAACAATTAACCCTTTTGTTGCTGGTATGTCATGAAAAAGTGCAACTTTTGGCTGTGTGCCTAACTATGTACATCACACAAATTTGCAAAATTTGCCACTTCTGGTTGCCTGTATGATATTACATGTATAACACGTTAATCACCTGGCTGTAATTCTTCTGTACAGAGTTTTAGTCATAAGAACTGCGTGATTCGTATTCATGAATAAAAGATGCGCACATTGTTACCAAATTTGCTAGTATTACTTTACAGCTAGGCTTGCAAGTGATTGATAAACACAGTTTAGGCTTGCGGGCGGTTGCATGCTCTCACAAAATGTAAACACTAAAATTACTTTAAAGTGAACACGGCAAATAAATTCACTTTTTGGCTTAGATTTTCAAGATATTCGAAATTATGAGCAAGACGGTAGGGGAAATAGGGAAAGGGAGGTGTGAAAAAATCGACATGAACAAAGACCAGGGTCTGAAATAGTGGGCTAGATCTAGACCGCGAGTCCATTGACAGTATCAGTAAGACATGAGACTGCTCTCTTGAGCAATGAGCTCAGCTGAAAATTAATGCTACAGTATGTACAATTATGTTATTATATGTTTTTCTCTTAACGCTATTTAAGATTGTGACAAGGAATGAATAAAAGGCTCAGAGATTTTGTGAACCTCAATTACAGGCTTTCATTTACCAGTTCTACCCTGCCAAGGTCCTCTGTTCAATCAAAAAAAAAAAAAAAAAAAAAAAAAAAAAAAAAAAAAAAACAACAACCAACAAACAACTAAACTACTTTTTTTGTGTATATTTAACACAAAATTTGCACTAGATCTAGAACAATTTCGAACAGACACAATTCAACCAAAAAAAGGAAAAACTTGTTTTTTAAAAACGGGAAAGGCTTTTTAAAAATAAAAACCACATGTGAACCCAAAATGCACCAATTTAAAAGATCTTGTTAGGAGAGTCAAGAAATGATTGGTTTGGTTTTTCCATTCCTTTCCTTTCTAAAAATCTAATCTTTCTATCCCTGTAACATTTAAACAATATTTCCTTTCTCCTACAGAGTTTTAAAGATATTTGTAAAATTCAGGAATTCCGAGAACCAGTGATCTATATGTCCCTCTTTGGACTCGACACATTTTAACGCGTTGATTGAAATGTTCAGTGGTGGCCAAACAAAGGATCCATCCAACCATGAGGACTCAAAGCCACACACACTGTACACCTTACAGTATGAAGTTGTTCCTAGAGACAATAGGGGGTAGGATGAAGTTGCCCAAATAGACGGCATTTGTGGAGTTTGCATATCCTGAAAGGTGAATATGGGCTTAGCCAACATACCAAATGTCAGAGAGAATGTTCATGCTTTTCAATACGATAGAGGAATCATGAACACATTGCTATCCCTTGATCCACGTCAGCTTTGCAAACAGGAAAATGGTACAATCGCAGATGAAGATCTTCCTTGAGAATGCAGACCGTTCAGATACAGGAAAGTCCTAGCTGCAGACATAGTCTACGGACAGACGTCTCATGTGGCTCATCTACTGAATGCAGCACCCTGATGACGTTAATGCGAACGGACTGTGTTTGACCTGAAGTGGTCATTTTGTCAGGGAACATTCAGTTCTGATTCTCTATAGGTCCTAACAGATGGATCATTTTCACCCTTGACATCTCCCCCGGGCGGTGCCACAGACTGAAATGTCTTTAGGCCATTCCTAAAAGGGGGACATTTCTCGTTCTAGTCCACAGTAGAATTGTAAATGGGCTGATCCAACAATGTCATGCTAATAACTGTGCCTGAACTACAATAGGGAACTGCTGCTTTTTCTTTCCTAATCCTATCGTCATTTTCCTCTACTTCTTTTGTATGTTTGTCACACTCTTGTGACCCGCTATTTCTGGGGTGCCTTGATAGTCAAAGCAGATTTTGAGCAGCTGAAGCTAGAGAGGTGAGCAGAGTAAGTCTGATTCCCCGTAAGGACTTCTCTGTTGACATCCAACCCTTGACGCTTATATGACCTAATGCAGTTGCGTAGCAATGCCAATGAAAATTTAAATTTTCACTTTTGTCCCCTTTTTTTTGGTACCTAAGAAAGAATTTTCAATTCTAAGAATTATGCTTCTTGAATTTTGAGAATCGGTTCATAAATAAAAAAGTTATGGGGTTGTAAAGGTCGGCAAAATATGGATGACCCACATATAGGAAAATACTCCTAAAAAGTGGACCACGCAGTAGCAGATTCTGTAAGAAAATGGACGTTATCTCGGTAACTAATAGGAGTGTTCTAGAGAAACTTGGCTACCCGATGTGTTTTTGAGTACAGAAATCATTTCTGCAGTCAGATTTACTACCAATTTCGTAGTTATTTTGTTATAATTAAAATTGTGGTGTACATATTACGATTTTGCGAAAAAGGGGTGTCGGGATGAGTCCATTTTATTTATAGCATCGTATCACAACATGGGATCTTTGAGAATATATGTCGGCAGCGTGACTAAATAATTGCAAAGCTTTTTATGATGACTTTAGACCATGCCAACCTTAAAAGATAAGTTAATTCAATCTAGCATGCCGTACAATTAAAAATTCTTTTTTCCCCGTTGAGACGCGAACACCCCGAGACGAGATAACCTCGCCTCGGAATACCCCCATAGCGATGTTACAAGGGAATAGAGAGAAAAACAACCGGATGCGCGCGCCCGCCATTGCCCTATTTCAAGTGACCAATGAACGGACCCGGAATAGTCATGCCGGGATTTGTAGGTCACATACATTTGCCACGAGAGTGAGGGGAAAACGGCCGGTCTCCCTGCGAAGCCGCTTTGGATAGGGGGGTAGTCGTGCATTTATGATCGGGTCTAAACAACTACTTGACACCAAACGTTCAAATTTGAGCACACTATAGAGGACAGATAGATCTATTACCATCTCGGCGTTGAAATTCAAACTCCTTATAGTTTTCGGTGTACACAATACGAAAGTGTTCCAGACAGCAAAAGTATAGGTTAATTTATGTGTACGAACTTCAACGTCCACATATCATTAGTTTGCCCTATTTTCTGATTGGTTGCCGAGTTTCATTCGGATTGGTTCGGAAATAGAGCAGACCGAGGTTGACAAAGTTAGTCACCTACGCTTCGGCCGGGTCCGCAAAATCGCCCGTAAACGGGGACCAAATTTTCGCCTCGCGGGAAAGCCCGATTGGCATTGCTAAGTTGCGAGCGTTGTAAAACCTCTACTAAAACTAAACCCCTTGACATCAACGGAGGCCTTAAGGCGACACTTTAACATTGCGGAACTTACGAGAAGAGTTGGTGGTGAGGAAATTTTCAATACAAAAAGCTCTAGACTGCTCTTTACTAAAATAAACTATCTACAAACTTCTGTTGGCCTATTACACTACTGTAGCTTGCTATATAGCCCAATTGTTGGGACTTTCAGTGGTAGGCCTAATACGAACTAGTGTGTCATATTAAGAAAATGGGTTGTTTTTTTTTACGCCCTACGTTGACAAAAACTATTTTGTGGATTTATCTAAGATGATTATCAGACAATTTCCTTTTATTTGAAACAAACTCCAGTGTGGAGGAAAATATTTACTCATAAAATTGTTTCGTCTTTTTTGTTTTGATCACCTGTATATTTACTCTAAAGCATCAAACATTATTCTTACTCGTAGAGACGATATATCTTTTCAGAGTATGACACTTCATCCAGAAGTTTGTTGGTGTTTCGTCGCTCTGCAGCCAACAAAATACCATCCTTTGCCAGAATTCCCAGGCAGGTTCCTGCATGGCCTATGGCTTCCATAGCATACTCCACTTGGTACAGTCTCCCTGAGGAGTAAAAAAGGAACCAATTTGACTCTTTCATTCATTATGACATTATGTAAAGATCCTCTTTAAAAAAAAACAACAACAAAATTCTCAAAATGGTCACAAATACTGTGTACGCACAAAGTAAAGAACAAAAATGTTACTATTCGGCAACACATTTAACTAATTATTAGTCTAATGGTGTAGTAAATTAATGTAATAACGGAAACAGCACATCGTCCTCTTGACCTTCCTGAACAATTGTCCAAGCAGCAGAGAATTTAACATTGTATAGATCATGATAACCAGGTTTTCCAGAGTATTTAAATTGACATGTTTCTTGCACAGTAAATAGACTAGCATTCCACTGTATAAAATCAATTTTAGAGCATTTGTATAGCGCAAATTCCCACTCAACAGCAAGCTTCATGTGCTTAACAATTATGTATATTATTATCCCAGCAGACCTGATTATACGATAGCATTCTGAAACAATCTCAACTTGTTGAAGAGTACACAGTGCAAGCAGACATTTTACAGGTGCTAAAACGCTTTTGACAAGATATTGCACTATGGCTGGGTACCCATTACACTTGAGAGAAGAGAGGAAACTTCAACCAGTGCCATGCCCAAGAACACACTGTTGGGCCTCTGGGTCGAACCCCCGAACCCAAAACCTCATCATTAACATAGCTGCCACTCAGGAATTTAAAAAAAGGAGGAAATTCATGTGAAGGTGTACGCGCGCTCTCCGAAGGCTGGAGTAAAACCAATGAGATCCAGAGGCAATATGCACTGGAAAATCTACCTTACGGTTTTGGAAGGGAAAACTATTTGATAACCATAAGTAACTGAATTAAAATGTATTTGAAAAAACCCCCAAAGGCATTAAGTTGAGTAACGAGCATTTGAGTCAATCTGACACAGTTTAGACTTAGTGACTAAAAATCCAGTGTTTGTTGCCAGCTGGAGTCTCATAAAAAGATTTCTTTCACTTTTGTACATTGATGTAGAGCAGTTTTGGATTAAGGAGGCAACACCTTTGACGCTGTTGATTTCGGCACTCCTGTACAATTTGCAGTCCCGTTTGCACTTAGTGCCCCTGTCGTGTGTTTCTTATTTAAAGATCTAAACTGAATTAAATTATAGCCTGGGCTATCTAATCTAGATCTAGATATCTAAATATGTGTAGATCTAGATTATATCTAGAGATAGATTATATCTAGATCTTTACTGAAGTCCTCCTTACTAGATTTACAACTACATCTAGATCTAGCACTAGGCTGCATGTCTACATCTATCTCCAACAAATATTGAGCTTTGATTGAATGGTCACTTTAACTTTAAACTTTAAGTCTCAGACACTCATTCATGTTCAAAACTAAAAATTTCACTTCCACAGCCACAATAGCCGTCATGTAAACAAATAGGACCGCAGTTGTACTGACAGGAGTGCCACGATTTCTTTATCGCACCAAACGCAAAGTGCAGCAAGCGGCTTGTTCAATTTTTTAATGAACTTTTCAAGTCGCACACCGGATGCTTCTTTCTCATTCTAGCTCCTTTTATTTTTGCATTCTGCATCAATTTCTCTCAAATTCCACGGTTTTCAATGACAACTCGGCGCGTCAACGCCCCGACGCCCGATCGGCACTGTGATGCCCCACAATAAACAATGTGAAACTAGCGCAAGGCCTAGAAGAATGGAAGTAGAAGCTAAGGGTGGACATGCGCAAGCCGCGTTTTCGTCTCTCTCCCGGTTCAGTGATTTCCGCGTGTAAAAAAAAAGTATCGCAATTTGCGACCGAGAACGGTCCAGCAGAGGAAGGAGGAAAGTAGCGGGAAAAGCTAGATGAAGCGGAGTTTCCGCTATTTAGCGGGAAAGTGGCAGCTATGCATTAATTAAGAGTTCAGTAGCCTAGCCACTAGACTGCCGATGCCTTACTGATATTTCTTTCCTATGACATGACAGGCAAAGGGAAAATAGTCAGGATGCAGTGAACCCTCTTTTGGGAAAAAAACTTGTGAGTCATACAAATCTCTCATTACTCAAAGTATATAAAGCGAAGACACAATTTTACATTAGAATTTTAAAAACTTTACATGGTTCACAAAATAGAAGCATTCATCTGTGAAAAAAAAAAAAAACTTATTGCATTAAAACAATCATAATATTTTCAATAATAATACACTTTAAAACGTTTTCCTAAGCTTGGTTACACAAACATGTACTGTTATTTAAAATACATACCCTCAGGGGAAAAGATAGTGGTCCTTGTGTCATAACGTCGAGCCTGAAAATAAAACAAAAGAATGCTTTCTAATATCGTAGTATGGATGGCATTATAAAATTATTAGGCTTAATCTAAGTAGAGGTTATTATACGGCTGACTTTTACTACGAAATTTAAAGATAACCAAAAAACAAAAAAGTAACCCTGGCCCTAAATTGTGATACTTGTAAAATAATTTTAGGCTTATCGAAATTCAACTCAGAAAAATATTCATGGGTCTAGGTCTAAATTTTTTTTGGATATATTTAAATGCTGATTGCACATAAAGAAAGTACTGGATGTCTTCTGAACAAGTCCTACTTGATCAATGGAAGTGAGTTTGAGAGAATGAGGAAGGCCCGGCCCCAACCAGCATTTCACCATGATTTGATGTTTTGGGTAAGAGGATTGATTATAACTTGATAACATTGATTTGATTTGCAAGGGTTTTAGGGGCCATATATATGTGCGTTCTGCAGTAAAAATTTACCTGTATTTCAATTCGAGAGGAATTCCGTAATGAGCAACCACTATGAAATCTATCAATGGCCATCACATAGCCTCTATGGCATCAGTCTTTTTTTAAACTTCAAAACAATTTTCATCTATCCTGGGAGGCGGGCGGGGGCATGGGGCTTTCCTCCCCCAAATTAGGGTTAACGCTTGGTTTTGGGAAAGGTTAAAATTTAACATATTTTTTCATGTACCATAGTGGTTGCTCATTGCGGAAGTCCTTCCCTAGATTCAAACAAGAGTCAGGAATGAGGAAAGGGCAACACAGTTAGCAGAACAGTTAGCATCAAAATGAAATTTGGAATGTGCTAGATCTAGAAGGAAGGACTTCTGTATGTAATGTGTGACCACACAAACTAAATATAATAAAGAAGAGACCAGAACCCAAACCCTACCCCTCTATTCTACACAGTGGTCATTTGTTACTGAAGTCCTCCTTACTAGATTTACAACTACACATAGATGATCTAGATCTAGTACTAGACTATATGTCTACATCTATATCCAACAAATATTGAGCTTTGATTGAATGGTCACTTTAAGTGACACTCATTCATGTTCAAAACTAAAACAATCAACTTCAATTTTAATTTAAATTACAAAAGACTATGACTACTCTCTCTAAATTTTAATTAGTAGAGAATATTATAGAATATTTAATCTAGAAGAAACTTAAAAACAACTTTGATTTGAAGAGTAGATTTAGATCTAATCTAGCCTATAGATTTAGAATCTAGTCTGCTTAAGTAATATTATGAAGAAATAACACATGAAGCTATCCAGCGAGCACCTAGCACACCTCTGTAATTGGCGCAAATATATGACGTATTTCCGCTATTATATTCTTGTCATCTTCCACAGTTTCCCCCAAGACTCTTGGGTTTCCCTCGCCAGTAACTGTTGACAAGACCTCGCCGTGTTTGTTTTTGTATTATCTTTTAAACAATCTTAGCAATTCTCGATCCATTTATTTATCTTCTCCTTGGCACTCCTGTACAATTGCTGTCCGTTTGGGGATACTGGTTTTGACCCCACCGACGATTACTTCTGATTCTAAACGATTACTTTTTGATGCGCGTGCCGATATGGAGAGATAGCCAATCAAACCTAGATCTACATCTAATTGCAAACATCAAATTATGATCAGGGGGGGGCATGGAAACCCCCCCATGTTCATTTGTTTTTCTTGGTCACAGGGCAAATATATAGGCCGAATATAGACTCGATTTTAGAAACAACTTAAAACAAGTGGATCAAGTGAAGCTTTAGCATTTTATCAAATAACATATCGCAAAGATTACGAAAACCCATTTAGGTTGAGTCAGATCTAGTAATCTAAATGGCTGGATTGTACTTTACAGGACCACCCGTCTCGGCCCATGATTACTATACACGCCTAGCCTAACTACGCACTCATAGTTCTCTATGTCCTGACAAAAGGTAGTTCCGCAGGCGACTTCGCTCACGCACAGCGCAAGCCAGCGGCGAGGTGAGGTGAGTGATAGGTGGTGGTTGAGGGTGGGTAGGGGATTTAACTTTGGTGGACCACTGTG